CCCCTCCAAGGCGCGCCGCGCCCCTCGCGCGGCGTCTCGGCCCTTTCCGCCCGCGCTTCGGCGCCGCTCGGCTCCCCTCCCGCCCCTCGCTCCCTCCCTCTTTCCCTCCCTCCTGGCCCGGCGGAGCCTTGAGCTCTGGCCGCGAGTTTGCTGCAGCTCCTTCCGCGCCGCCGCGTGGGTTCACCTGGGCGCCGACTCCCAGACTCGCGCCTGGCCCTCCAAAACACCTCTCAGGTAAGGGGCTGCTCCGGCCGCCCGCGCTCGACCCGCGCACCCGTCCTCCGGACGCGGCTGGACAGCTGGTGTCTGTACGCGTCCCGCCTCTTCAGCGAGCCGCCTAGGGGCTTCGCGCCTCACCCAGGAATGAAGGTGTTGGTGGCGGGGACCTTGGGCCGACGGGGGCCGGAGCGAGGGGCAGGGGATGCGACGGGCCGACAGGTGGCGGGGTCTGGCCCTGGTCCTCCGACCGCCGCAGGCGCAGACCCCGGTGGGGATGGGGCGGGCGGGCCGGGGGGTGGGGACAAGCCCTTTTCTCCTCCCCTCGAGGGGCGGCGATCGCCCAGGCCCGCCGTGTAGGTGCGACGGAGAAACTTTGCAGGGTGGGGACTCGGCAGCCACTTGCCAGCGGGGCCTGGTCAGCACGTTCTGCGGGGGCGGGGGGCTCCGGGGCGGGCCGCGGGGCAGACCCTCCGGCCGGGCGAGGACCTTAACGCTTCCCTTCCCCGCCCCCTTTTGTGTTTTGCCTCAGAGCCGCCGGCCGCCGGGGGAGCCCGGGCCGCCCCCGCGCTCCGGGGGTCGTTCCCTCACATCCTCCCGGCCTCGGGAAGGCAGAGGCGGCGGCGGCCGGAGCCGGGCGGGGAGGCTTGAGGTGAGAGCCCGGCCGGTCCCGCTGGGAATATGGCGACCGGTGGCTACCGGACCAGCAGCGGCAGCAGCGGCAGCACCACAGACTTCCTGGAGGAGTGGAAGGCGAAGCGCGAGAAGATGCGCGCCAAGCAGAACCCCCCGGGCCCGGCCGCTCCGAGCGGGGGCGGCAGCGACGCGACCGGGAGGCCCCCAGCGGGGGCTCTGGGCTCCTCGGCCGCCGCCGCGGTCTCCGCCGCGGGGGCACCGCCGGCCCGGGGCGACGGGGAGGAGCGCGACGGCGCCCCGGAGAAGGGCAAGAGCTCGGGCCCCAGTGCCAGGAAAGGCAAGGGGCAAATCGAGAAGAGAAAACTGCGGGAGAAGCGTCGCTCCACCGGCGTGGTCAACATCCCCACGGCAGAGGTGAGCGGGCGGGGGCCGCGGGGGGAGCTCCCCCGGCCCCCGGGCGGCAGAGTTTCCCCACGCTAGCCAGTACTTATCCTTTCGCCGAGTTAGGCAGGCGCAGAGGGTGATGGAGTTTTACTCTGAACAAATGCTTCCTGGGAAGTTCCCCAAACCCAAAGTAGGACACGTGCTTTTCAGGCTTCCTGGCTGAGGTCTCAGATTCAGGATCCTTCTTTATAGGACAACTGGTGGCTCCAAAACTGGCCAACCTAGGGTTGTTTGTTTTTGCTTAATCAGTTAGAAAAATTGATTAATGGTGATGACGACATACAAAGTTTAGTTTCCCACGTGTCTATCTGAAGTTACCAGATTGTTGATCTCTTTTCTCTTGATAGTGTTTAATAGCACCTGTAAAGAAACGTGGCCTTAGCACTATGCACCACAGCTTTATTTTTCAGTGTACCCAAGATGAGTATATCTAAATAAGTATATGATTTTCATCTATAAACCAGCTTTTGGGAACAGCGCTCTCCAACACACACACACACCCACACCCACACACACACCAGCGCTCCCCAACACACACCCCCCCACACACACACCAGCGCTCCCCAGCACACACACACACTACAGCGCTCCCCAACACACACACACCCCCCCACACCCACACACACACACACCAGCGCTCCCCAACACACACACACACTACAGCGCTCCCCAACACACACACACACTTTATTCTGAGTGATATTAGGACAGTAGGAACGTTGTAGTAATCCACAATTCTTTTGTTAAGACGATCTTTCCTTGTATTTAAGTATTTGGCTCTGTATATTGTGGAAAACAGTTGTGGTAGGGTTTTTGTTTTTGCTTTGTATTTTTGAGAGGTCTCAACATTCCTGCAGGCAGCAGCATCTTCCTATTAGAGTGAGTGGTGAAAATTTTTACTTAATGTGTAACCTATTTCTACCCTCAAAAAAAAAATCCTAAACAATTTTGGTTACTTTAATAGAAGCGCGCTGGTTTTGGGAAGTGATTACACAACCTTGTTTCACCCAAAGTAGTTGCATCTTTTTCTCATTGGCTCTTTAGGTTTTATTTTTTTATTTTTAAAATTTTTTTACTCGTGGCTTTCTAATTTATTCAACTTCGATAACCAGTAAATACTTAATAAGAATATACTAACTTTAATTGTGATTCAAGTAAAAGCATTCACAGTAAGCTAGGGTGTGTGTCAAACATACCCCACTTTTTAAGTGTTAATATGTTTTCCATACCTGGAAAATTACGGTTTGTCTTTGAAGGATATATTTTTACATGCATGTTGCAGACAGATTTTTATCAGCCAGCAAAACTGTCCTCTATGGTTTGCTACTTGCACAAAAGATCTGTTATTCATTAAATTGCTTTAAAAGGAATTCATGAGAGTGGTAATCAAATTTCTAGTTTTGTTTTTTTTTTTAAATATGAAGATTAAGGGGAAACTAAAGACAAGGCTTTGGAAAAGCTACATTCCTCAACTTTATTTTTAAAAGTAGCTGATGGTCCAAATAAAAGAATTAGTCATTTTCAGTCTTTTCCTCATTGTTCATCTGACAGGGGTCTTATTTTGGGAAATATCTTGGCAGATGTTAAACTTCATTTTTTGTCTGGCTGCTTGTGCTAGAATTGTTACTTCTCAAGTACCTTTTTTGTTTTTGTTTTTAACAAGGGTAATGTTTACTGGGGGGAATAAGTGTGGTATATCTTACGAGGTCCTAAGAAACATCCTTTGTTAATACTCCTGCTTTGGGTTAGAGAACATAGTGCTGAGAATGTAGATGACTCCCCACTACAATTGAGTCTAATACTCTGGAATGTTTTTCGTTTGGGTGTTGGCAAGTCCTAAATTTAATCTTCCTTAAAAACAAACAACCCAGGGTACCATTTTTTGGTCTGTGGAATTTGAACCTTTTTTATTGAATAGGGAATTGAGGACTGCTTTCTTTTTGTGGTAACTATGGCTCTATCTGTTGCTGTAGGACGCAACAAAACATGGTAATGTTTTACCGCAGTATCTAATTAGCAGGCATACTTCTTGAGGGCCTCCTCCTCATATTTTCATAAAAACAACTTAAGTCGTTCAGATTATTTTAATAGTGGTAAATATATGATACAAAACTTTAAAGGTGGACCGTCTTTATATCTTTAGGTTGTTGTACGTTGTTTTTTTAGAATTGTGTGCCATTCATTTCTCTTAGTAATTTCAGCATTGAGAATATCAGTTGCTGTGGAGTTTCTTGTGTAATATAACTTAGTACTCCTGGTTTAAGAAGTCATATGATATTTTACAAAATTTTCAGGTTTGCAAATATCATAAAAACAGAAAACCACCAATCTGTCTATATTCAAGAGTGGACTTGTATTATTATTTAATGTTGAGAAAGCATCTTATTTTCAGGCAATATTCTCAACCAAGTTTATATTAGAAGAGTAGCATGACACATCACTGTGACTTTCATTAACTTATTTTACTAATTACAGAGTATTATAAAATTGTTGTAAAGAGATACCTGACAACAGCTAAAGATACCACAAACAACCAGAAGATAGTTTTAGTGAGGAAACAAGTCAAAAACTAAAAGTGGTAGATGGCGATGTGAAGCTGGGGTGGGGGGGGCATACTGCTTCTGATAACCGTAATAAAAAGTGCAAATATTCAGTTGTCGTTAGTGAGACAAACTTTAGTTCTCATTTACTGAGGTAAAGATTAAAAAAAAAATTTTTTTTTTCTAAATTCTTATATTTTTGGGGGCAGTAGCCCAAATTGGATAATTTGGATGTAATATACCTCCTGCCAATAATTTTGGTATATGTTTATTAGATCTGTCAGATGTTTATTACATGTCTGTGTTCAAGGCACTGTTGTAAGTGCTGTGGAAAAAACAAGAGTAAGGCAGTGTATAGTCTCAAGGAGCAGAACTGTAATCCAGGAGGAAGGATAAGGCATAATTATATGAAAAAATTTAAGTACTGAGTTAACAATTGAAAAGCCATCTTAACACCGCAAATTGTTTATTAGAAATATTTTGTGTTTAGGGGCGCCTGACTGACTCAGTTGGTGGAGCGTGGAACCCTTAATCTCGGGGTTGTGAGTTCAAGCCCCATGTTGGGTGTGGAGATTACTTTAAAAATCTTAAAAAATATATATATATATTTTGTGTTTAGAGGAAAGAGATGATTGGGCTGTGAGAAGCTAGTGAGGATGAGGGTCTTGAGCTGAGACTTACATTTCTGCAGCTATATACTTATACATATATTCACATATACATGTATATATACCTGTTTGTATAATATTTTAAATATCAGAGTGCAGTGTTTCTTAATTGTGGTAGCTAATTAAAATCATGTGAGGATCTTAAAAAAGTGCTCTCCATGGAGAATACTTCCCTTCTCCCTCCCTGACCCCCTTTTGATTTAATGGGCCTGGGATGGATCCCAGGCATTAATATTTTGGTAAACTTTGCATGTGATTCTACTGTGAGTCAGGGTTAAGAAATACTGGGCTGCAGTCTGGGGATACAGAAATGAATAGGACACAGGCTTGTCCACAGGGCCTCTCAAGTAATATACAGTGTTAAGTACAGCCTATTTCCTGAGTGGGGGATAGTTGAGGAAGGATTCCTAGGCAGTATCACTCCTGTTTTCATAGTGCTTATGAAGTTACTGCCATTTAATAGGTTTGCAGAAGAGTTAACAGATCTGGTTACCCTAGAAAATATAATAATTCAATAGGTCAAGGTCAAATGGCACTGAAGTTTTGATTTAAATATAAAGTTAACATATGTCGAAACTTACTATTTTCATAGTGGTTGGCTAGAGTGCTTTATGTGTTGTTTTAATTAATGCTCACAGCAATCCCATGTGGTATAGTTTCTCTTTTTATCCTCATTTCCAGAAGAGAAAATGGAAGCTTGGAGAATTTAAATGACTCAGGATCACATGGAAAGTGAATAAGTGGTAGAGCAATATTTTAAATGTTTTTGTGGGTTTTTTTGTGTATATGTGCATCTTGGGAAAAGTGTTTTTAAGAATTAACCTACTCTGGAGGCACCTGGCTGGCTCCGTTGGTAGATTGTGCAATTCTTAATCTTGGGGTCATGAATTCAAGCACTATATTAAGTGTGAGGCCTACTTAAAATAAAATTTTTAAAAAATTAAAAAAGGAATTAACCTACTTTGCATTATTTAGCTTATTTCCCTATAACTTTGTTTTTTTCTATAACTTTTTGTTAGAGGTTATCTTAATTTAAACATCTGAATGGGGAAAACAGTAAAAGGAACTGAATAGAAATTAGAGTCAAATTTGTAGGCTCAGAGATTGCTTCTGACTCGCTAATTTATAGTTTGCTTGGCAAAATTTGAACACCAGGCCACCCGCAAAATCTGTTTTTGGCTAGAAGTCAGAAAATGTGAATCTTTGTTTTTATTTAAGTGATACGTTGTTTTTCTGTCAAGATGGGGCTAAACACCTACCCTGTAGTTTGAAGGAGCATATGATATATAGAAAGCACTTTTAAGTGAGCACAATTTTAAGTCATAATTATTCAGCATATTTATTGAACATTATGTAGGACAAATTCTACTTAGTAAACCATGTAAATCCAGGTAGATTAAGAAATTCCTTTCAGTATGCCCAGTAGGTTCCAGACTGTCTACCTTTCTATGTGATGAGTCAGAAGAGGAACTAATAGTGACTCAGGGTTGGGGAAAATTGAACTTGTGAATAGGGTAGATATAGCATAAACGAGCAAGCCCAACTTTCCTAAATGTTTGAACACATTGGTAAAGTAAATTAAAATTTTAATATTACCAGGATTTATAATGAGTGGTCTAAGCTGGGATGCCTTTTTCTGTAAAAATAATTATGTAATTAAAGTAGATGACATTTATGGTGTGCTTATTAAGTGCTAGGCACTGTTCTAAGCACTTCACCTGTATTGGTGCATTTAATTCTCACCACAACCCTATGGGAAGAT